TTAAACCATTTATTTATATCCTCCAGGCTTTTAATAGAGCCGATGTACTTCAGTAAAATTTCAAATCGTTTTTCAAAGTGAATTTTAGGAATCAACGCATCTTAACAAGGTTACAGATGATAACTCAAAACAAGGACCTACAAGATTGTCTTGGGATTAATGAGTAAGCAAACTACCATGGATCTAAACTAAAAACTTTGTTTAACAACTTATTTTCAGACCTTGTAAGAAAAATTATGGATGTACTCATTTATGCAGAGCAAACATTTCCAATAACCATTCTGTACCTGAATCTGTATGTTACTTTCAGCTGCTCCCTTCTCACAAGGGTTGTGAGAAGGGAGCCAACTCTCTTCTTCCTCATCATGTTACAGCAGTTTGGAAAGTGTTGTTTTAGCTACAACTTTTGTTTAAAACTTTTGTTAAAAAGAGAAAGTCAGTAACAATATGGCAATTATTTGATTTCAAAAACAAGTTAATTTACTTCCTTTTTTCTTTCTAAGTAAAATTAAAATATTTTTAATGGCATGTTTTTTTTAAATATACAAATATCATAAAGCAGTCTTCATATTTCAATATATTTATATATTTACTTATATTTTTACTGATATGAACATCATTATTAATATTATATTTTCAGAACATCCAGGAGTCATGTGACATTTTACTGCAGTATTCAAAGAGTTAAGGCTTTTTTCTTGCAGATCCATTGGTTCTTCTCAGTACAGTTCACTGACTTAAATCCTGGATTTCTGACAGAGATTGCACACTGACCATCAGTAGGAGACTCTGGGATCCAGGCACTAAGAAAAATCACAGGTTTGATGAAGGGGAATCAATATTGACATAAAATAAGACATAATTAATTTATCCCGAATTTTCAAAAATATTTAAAATTATTTTTGATTCAAGGTGTCTCTTACCTGTTAGTCAGATTCCTTCCATCCACCCACTTCCAGTTCCCATCTTCGACTCTCAGACCAATCCAGTATGGTCTGTTTCGTGAATTCCACCAGCTGTTGCCACTGATATAACTCTGAGAATAGAAAGAAAGTTTTCAGAGATATTAAATAGATCACATATCATATCAAAATAATATATAATAAGTATTTTTCCTAAAACATTGTGGCACAAACTATTTTTAGATTAGATTTAGAGTCCCACTGGTTTCTCATTACCTTTTCTGTTTCATTATTCAAAACAGCCAAATCTGATATCTTTCCTATACAGTCATCTCGAGCACCTTCCCAGGTTTTCTGGTTAGGAGATTGAGCATCATTAATTGCATAGCAGCCTGACTGGAAGGAAAGCCAGCCATCCTGACAAATTATACACTGTCGGTCTGCAAGGATAGAGATCAATTAATAAACATCACTGCATATTTATATTACATTTGGTATTTTTGTACTAATATATTTGTAACATACTGTTGTTATTTTTATTCTTGGGACAGTAGGCATCAATGCTCCATTGAGCTCGACTAACATTGAGCTCATTCCACAATGTTGTCATGTTTTGTATTTGGTCTGTTAGGTTTTTCTTCTCTGCCTCCAGCTCCTCATTTTTCCCTCTAAGGTTCCGGTTTTCTGCAGTCAGGTTTGTCACATTTTTCTCTAAGACAGTGATGACTTGAGTCAGGTTGTTCATCTGGAGTGTGAGCTTGGTTTGGTTCCTCTTCAAGTCTTCATTGTCTGAGCTGAGTTTGTTGTTGAG